AACCACCCATAGAGGCATTTAGTGATGGCTACACCGGCAGCTCCAAGAGCCAACAGGAAGTCCATCATCTTGAAGAGTATTTATGAGCCCTGGAGATTTAAGGGTGCCTCAGTTCCTGCCTCTGTAAAAAGGGGGTGATCCACTAAGGTCCATCAGAGAAAGAGAGTGGCAATTAGCTAATATGTTCTACTGAAAGCACTGGAGAAAATCACTGTGGCGTTGCTGGCTCCAGCATAGTGGGGCTGAAAATAGCATGATGCAAGGAAAAGCTGTGTAACTCAAAGGGAGATAAAAAGAAGTTCATAGAATATGGTTTCTAAAGAAATTAAGTAAGCTGAGAAGAGGAAAATGACATGAAATTCCAGGTTGAGCCTTTCCTTACCCTGATACCCTGCTGCCTTGTTAACATGGGTGTTCAACATAGCGTTATGTGGGAGCATTTGCCTCAGGTGAAGAACAGCAATTAGAGTATTTCCAATGTACCAAGTATTTCTCCTTAAGCTATCTGAATTGTCCTCTGTTGGATAAAAAAGGCCACTTATATTAAGAAGGTTTTAACCCTGCTCCAAGCGATTGGAGGAAAGGGGAACATTTCTGAACATACCTGCAAAGTTTGTGGGAACAGCCTGCGGAAAATTGTTCCAACAAATATCTGGTTCATAGCTAGATTCTCCAGATGGCATCAATATATCATAAAGAGCCAAAGAGAGCCTTCCGGAATGCAAATTACTATTCACATTTTACCTAATTTATGCAAATTAGCTCATTCAGTCTTCCACCTAATCCTCTCTGGAGTTACTCCAAGGTTTGAAAGGAAAGATATTCTTCTTGCAAAACATATATGATCCATATTAATTGCTTCTGATGGAGATGAGTGGGATGGACAACTATTCCAGCAGTTAATACTTTAATCACTTCACCTCAGCAGCAGCCCTGCCTTAGGTGACCAGACCCTCACTGTCTGTCCCCATTGCTAATGTAAACTGTAAATGGCTGCATATTTGAATGCTCCCAATGGGCGCTGCCAGGAAGGCATATTTCAGGAAGGAACCCATCTGCATTGAGCAGGGTTGAGGGGAATGCTGGTGCGTAGGTAGATCCAATATGCAGTAGCCCAAATCATGGCTACCCAAGCTGGGAAGAGGGCTGCAGGAGCAGGATGCAGCTTAGTGATGGAGTTGCATGGCTTGCCCCAGGGATGTTGGTCTTTGCCCAGGAATGTGGTGGCAGAGCTGTGAGAGGTGTCAGACTGAGCTATGATGAGATGTGCTGAATTCACCTTCTCACCCCTCTAGGAAGGGGTGGAGAAGCAGCAGTAGTGGAGGCGAAAGGAAGGAGTCAGCACAGCATCTCTGCTGGACTGAACCAGAGGCACTGGAATACACTGACTTCAACATATCCTGAACCCAGCCAGAATCAGCGAGAGGCACTGGTGTGCTCCAACACCCTTCCCCACTCTATCCTGAATTAGAAGAGGATTTGTAAAACAATGAATGGAAAAAACAAAGGATAATTGAGTTAGGAAGTCTCTCAAAATTATCCGTTTATTATGAAGTGATTAAAACATGTTTGGGCATATTGACTTTAGTCTGTCCTTGTTTTAATATTTATGTGTTATCTTGAATAACTGTTCTTTAGCCACACACTGGTATTTATGGATTTCTTATCCTTGTCTCTTGTTTCTGGATGGCTGTGATGAGATACAGAGATGAAATAGACTAATTCTGAAATCAATGAATTAGAGATTTAAGACATTGATATTTCATTGCTTATCTCTGTAAAGATGAGATTAATATGCAAACAGTAAAATGTATTGTGCCATTTTCTTGTACCTGACAGGCCTCAAAATAACTCACAGATTGGGTTTTGTCAGGATCAAGCGAGAACATGTAGCAACCTATTACACCTGTACCTGAAGCCACCCAAATCCGGGTGGCTGAAGCATATGTTAAGCGTCACAGGTGAGAATTGGGCCTGGTTTAGATGTACTTTATTGATGCCACCCAAGCCTCTAATACACTTAGCCCAAAGGTGGACCTGCATCACATTACACAATCCTTTTGCATTATCTGCTCCCCAGACCAAGGGAAGGGCATTGGCTGATGCTTTTCAGCAGATACTTTTGTTCCCATAGCACTGTCAGTAACGAGCTTCCTTTTGCCAGCAGGAAAACTTGTCTCTGAAGCATTTTGAATTGACATTTCAAATACATTTTTGTGTATGTAAGGTCTGCAGGAAAACACTGAAGCAAGTGATTGGTGACTTTCAAGAAATATATATTTTTTTTCTCCTCTATAGAGAACACATGGGATTTTCTGACAACCCCTGAGGCAGGAATATCACTACACTGCACTGTATAGCTGTATTTATATTACCCAGCTGATGCTGCCTGCTGCTTTTCAGAGGGATCCTTAAGGTTACAAGGTGCAAGAAGGTGGGAAGAACCTTCTTTGTCCTCCCACTATGCATAATGATGGGTTTTTTAATGTAAGTAATATTGGAGCAGAGTACATTACAGTAATATCCAGGTTATATCACCTCAATAGAGCTTTGAACACAATAATTTGATCATTTTGACGTAAAAAAAAATTGCTATAAAGTATATAATTTGTATAAAACCTCAGAAAGTTTGCTTGTTCAGATCTCCTCTTCAGCAAGGTGATTACATATGGGTATCCAGGGACAAATTTTCAGCAAAAGCTGTTACTCATTGCAGCGTAAGGAAGAAGTTCTTTACTGTGAGGGTGGTGAGGCACAGGAATGGGTTGCCCAGGGAAGCTGTGAATGCTCCATCCCTGGCAATGTTCAAGGCCAGGTTAGACAGAGGCTTGGGTGACATGGTTTAGTGTGAGGTGTCCCTGCCCATGGCAGGGGGGCTGGAGCTGGGTGATCTTAAGGTCTTTTCCAACCCTAACTATTCTGTGATTCTATGATTCATGAGCTGAACGTGGTCAGTCAGAGCAAGCCCCAGTCTTAAACTGCTTGGAAAGCACCCTTCATCAAATTAGCTTTAAGGGGACTTAAAAAGGAGCCTTAAAAGGAAGATGGTTAAGTGGATCTTCATCAATTTCTAAACTGATTTACTTGAATCAATGCAATTTTTAACTGCTGCCAAGCCACACTTCTTTAAAAGCTGTGGACACTTCCACAAAACAGATCTCAGCACTTCCCTTTTCCAGGGTTTAGGACTTGGTCCAACAAATCACTTAAACTTGGGCTTAACTTTAAGTACATGAATACCTCATTAACATCAAGGAGACTATGTTTTAACTAAAGAATATGTGTAAAGTGCTTTGCTGGACTGTGGCCGCAGATACTACAATCATTGTTGCTAGGTAAAAATATAAGCCAGACAAAGTGTTTCCGCAAGAGGATAGTATGATCTGGAGAATTACTTGACAACAGAAAACTCTGAGAGCAGGAAAATGATTGACTGATTATTTTTCCAATTCATGGGAACCCATGGGAGCATCTAAATCAACTCCTCCTGAATGCTGCAGGGTGACTTCAGACCAGTGATTAGAGCCAAGTGAAATGTTTTGATTGAGAATAAATTAATTCAAAAGCACTGTTTTGGCTAAATGGAAATCTTTTCCTGACCTATTTTGATTTTCTCTAATTTTCCATTTCCAAAGAAAAATCCCAAATGAAAATTTTTAAGCTTTATGGATGTTTTTAAGCTAATGTACATTTCCCTTCTTTTATCTGTGGGAAGAGAATACTTCTTAAATGAAAGTGTGGCCAAAAACCCAAAGAGAAGAACACATCATTTTTAGCAATATCCCACTAGGAAAAAAAGATTTTTTAAAACGTGGGGTTTATTTGAAAGATTTGTGTTTGGGGTTTTTTTGTTTTCTTCTTTCTTCTGTTAGAAATAAAACAACTTTAAAAAATACTTTGTTTTAAATGTGGCAAATTTTCGTCAAAGAAAAAAAAAGGAAAGAAATTGAGTGAAATGAAGGACAAATTGCCTCTGTTCTACATCTCACAAAATAAACTTTTTTATTCCCCACTAGCTCTCACAGTTATCTAAAGCTATTGAATGGGGAATTCTCACCTTCAAAGAACTGCAAGGAGACAACAATTTGCAAATGAAGAGTTTCTTCCTGTCCCATATTGAAAGGGAGGGCTTTTTTTCCCCAGGTTCAAACACTTTTGTGATCAGACTTTTGTCTTTCCAAAATCACAGAATAGCCAATTCCTGTTATCAGGGTATTATTGTATTTTATGCTACAAAGACATAGGAAAATAACACATAGGCTAACATCACTGCATGCATGTCTTTGGGAGATTCTTCCTTCAAGCACTGTTTCCCCACAAAGTCAATGAAGCAAAGAATGCCACAGTGGTCCTGTTTTAAGATGGTATGTAACACTATTCCCCTTGCTTGCTTTGTGCTTATACTCATACAAGAAATCACTGCTCATGGTGACACCCTCATTTCCTAGAGATGGAGCTCATCCTCACCCCAGTGGCCTTTGCTGAGTACCAAGTACCCCAGCACTATTCAGTTAATCACAATTGTATCTCGTTGCCTGTAATTGAGTCATATTGGGTTTTAATGAGTTTAATCGATTTTGATTGTCTCAGGGGCTGCACTGGCAGCTTTTTGTCAGAGGCTTGATTGTGTTGTAGAGTCAGGAGGCACATAAGGGGTTAATGAAAGGCCTAGAATGAATTCCTATGGAAGAAGCCAATGATGAGTAAAAGCAAACAGTTTATTTGACTCGAAAGAGGTTATAAAGGGCAATAATTGTTTTAAATAGAAAGCTGTTGATTTATAATTGGAAGTAATTGAAACTTACCTGAAATATTGAATAAAACATTAGATATTTTAAACGGTGTTATCTTTACAATTACCATTGGAAATAATTGCAGCTGAAGCCCATGAGCTGTTGTGAGAGGAAGAGTCACCCAGGGCCCACTGTTTTTCTCAGTCATTATGCAAAGTATTTAATGAGGAGGTATTTATAAATAAGTGGCAGGGGGTGTTTCTGATCTGGTGTTTCCTGAGAGAATGCCAGTTCTACTAAGGGTGAGAATGGAGGTAAGTAAGGAGCAAGTTTCTGCTCTATTCACAACAATTGCTTTAGAAATTATGCAAGTGGTACCTCTCTGGAAGTCTTCCTGCCTTGCTTATTGGATTTGGGGGGTTGAGGAAGTTTTCATGGCTGTGTCTTGTCATTCTGAAATGTTTTTTTTTCCTGAATGTTTTCAAGCCACTTTGTACCCATTGTCCCTTTTCCACTACGTTGAAAACAAGGAACCCTTCTCAGCAAAAAGTATAACGTTCCTTTGTCACAGCACTCACAGTTTGTCATATCAACGTATGCATCTATTTTTGTTTGGTGTCAAGAGTTGTAACTGCCTTAACTTACTTCCTTCAAATAGAGTTGTTTCAGAGCAGAACTCATGGAAGACATATTACACGGCTGCTCAGCTCTTAACTGAACGTCTGACCAGGTATGGCTATGTACTGTCTTCTCTGGAGGGGAAAGGTTTGGATAATCATTCTGTAGCAGACTATGGCTTCATGATGCATGACATTGTTCCAGTTATATATGCATGATATAATTATATTCTAACTCATGTGAGATTATGTATAATTTATGTATGCTGTATATGTGTAACCATTGGGCTTGATGAACTTTTGAGGCAGCAGCCATGATAGGAGCAAAGCAGCATTTCACCTACAGAAATACCTGTACAGATTCTAATTGGCCCATTTACAAAAATTAGTTTGCCAAGTTCTCCTAATTGCTGTGGGTCAAATTTTCTAATACAAAGCAGTGAAGGAATTGAATTTTAATGGTTTCAGTTATTTGTGGTCCCATGGAAATAAACCATTTTTCCCTCCCCTTAGTATAGAACTGGATGTTAGATAAGTGAGGAAAGAGGAGGAGAATCATTGAAACATCAGTTGGGGAAAATTGCTGAAATGGAGTGGCAGATGAGCAGGATCTGAATGATGGCTTTATCTGTAAGAAAAGAAAGAGAACGGTGAATGTAGAACATGTACAGAGGAAAAAGCAGCTGAGATTCAAGAGAGTAATATAAGCTGTAGCAGTCTGCTAATATTGCTGAAGGATCTATTAACAACAGTATGATTTCTTCCCAGATGATCATCTGTTCTGTCTTAGCCTAGTATCTAACAAAGTCATATATTGGGCATCTGGCTTCTGTGTGCTTTTTCTCTTGAAGGACAAATTAGAAGAGGGATTTTGCTCTTTAATACAGCTTACAAAACCTGTCATGTTTGACAAGGGCAGAGAGAGCAAGTGAAAACCAGTAGAAGGGAAGCCATGCCTGTGCTTCACTTCATAGTGTGAGGGGAGCTGAGCAGACTGCACTTGAAGGTTCAGTGTATCTGGACAACCCCAGGTGCTCTTTTAGTGTGCAGTGACATGTCAGAGTTCCTGGTTGTGTGCTTGAACCGTATGCTCTCTGTAACACCCTAATGTGATGTCTCCTAGAGGGTAAATGCTGAGATGAGGGCAGCAGGTCTGCTCTGTCACAAGCTTTTCTACTGATGTGCCTGTGCCATTTTCACAGCTCTGTGCCTGCAGATATATCTCTTCCCACAATCCCACCCTGACTATTTAGCCTAGGGCAGTTGATCCTCTCATTACCAGTAACAACCACACTCATACGATGTGATGGCTTCTTTAAAAGAAGCAGTATAATTTCCTCATCATTTGAGCTCTTTCACTGTGAAAGAAAACTAACAGCAAACAGGCAATGAGTTGACAAATTTCATTTGGATCTGCAGTGAAAGGTCTGACTTGCCTTCCTTGGGAGACTGGGAGGCAAGGATTAGAATCTGATTCAAGGAGCCCTTGCTGACAGAGTGATGTAAAACTGATGCAAGGATCTGTTGGTGACTGGGGAAGCTGGGACATCATGGCTGATTTTTATGGTGCAGTTTTGAAACTCTCCCAAGCTTGTCTTCATTCTTTTCTTTTTTCCTTGAGTGTCAAGTGCTCTGTGTTGTGTCTATCTGGATATTGTGCAGGGTGAATAGGGGGAGCATGCAAGTTTAAATTGTAAGTAGGAAAGGAGAGAAGCACTTGCTAAAGATGTCTAGACACCACAAAGAGTAATTAGCCAGGTTTAAAATTCTGCCAGCAAGTATATATGGCAGGAAATACAAACATAAGGAGAGTAAGAGCTACCAGGCTTCACTTGGCTCCTGCCGCTTCATCAGGGCTAATTAAAGTGTTCTTCCCTGAGTCCTTACAGAGATTGGCTATGACAGCAAACAATTTCAAGTAAGATGTACTAGTCTAAAGTGTGGCAGGGGAAGCAACAGGGAAGTAGCAGTCTGCATTGTCAGCTCCCATCTCTATAGGCTCAATGGAGAACATTCGAAGCTGGGTGAAGCAAGGCCAAAGACAAGGCAAACGGATACTCTCAAGTTTGTGTTGCCGTACCATTTGCCACATCTGAGGTGGAAAGGTCTCAAATGTCTGCAGGGTCCTGACCGTGTTTCTCATGCTTGTATGCTGGAGTTTCACCGTCACACAATGCAATCACAGAGCGTATTTGCCCCATGGTCCCCAGAGTGTGGCTGTAAGAAGGTGCATGTATGCACAATACAGGCAAGTCAAGTAGTAACAATGCTTTCAAGTAAGCACATTTGTAGAGGCACTGAAGGTAGAGGCTTCTTCTTCAGTCATTTTCATTGCCCTCTCCATCATTTCCATAATGAAGTCACCTTGTCTTCCAATGCTTTGGGAGAAGGATCACAGGACACTGGTGATTTGGAAGTTACAGCTTCCAAATTCCATTGGATATTCAATTCCAGGCTCATATAAAAGAGGCAAATGAAGTTTGTGAAGATAATACTATGCTTTCTGAAGTTTCTAATTTGCAGGCAGAAAATGCAAATAAGCATGTGTATGATGCAGATACATCAAAACTAAAGTCACAGGTTGGGCCAAAATCAGGTTGGCAGCTTCTCTTTAAACAGTTTTATGGATCATTAAGTACCCCACAGGAGGCTGACTACACCAACTGCATTTTATTGATAGCCGAGAGTTTCTAGCCTGAAACAAAACAATTATTCATGTTAACTAGAGGCTGGAATAAACTGCCCCAGACCAATGTCCCCTCAGAACACATAGAGACTCAAAATGCAATCTCAGATTTTCTTCTTGATGTATTTTCCCATTCACTTGGTATTATAATATCCTGGTGGATGCTTTATTTAAACAGGTTAGCACAACTGTTTTCCTGGGAAGGTCTTTGGCAGGCAAATAGGGTTTTTCACATATGCTCCAACAAAATGTTAGCATATTCGTATATGTAATACATATTCCTCTAAGAAAATCCATGAAAATTGCCTTATTTTACCAGGAGAGCCAGCTTTCCTAGTTCTGTGTGTCACACTTTCACATGAAGTTCTACATTAGGAGTAAGCTAAATGGTGCATGGCATTTCTGTTTACTGCCTTCTGTCTCAGATATATCCAATGAAACTTTGAACACTTGATGTTACAAATTCCCAAGAAGCCCTTTAAGTATCACAAATGCTTTCAAGGAAAACAAATATGAGCTGGTGCACATAAAAAGTGTTAATTCACTCTGTACTTACCTCATCATGGATCATTTCACTGTCTCCTACAAGACCAACCTCCCTTAGGATACTGGGCAATCCTATCTCTCCCTATTGCACAGAAGAGACACAATATGCTGAAGGACTAATGGTTTGAAATAAGCCCTATATCCTCAGTCTGTATGAGCTTCCCAGAAAACACCAGTATTTAGATGGGGAAACAGACTAGAAAATCTGCCTTTAAGTGCTGCTATGGGATCTAAGCTCTTCTGAATGTGTTTTTCATACACAGGACCTCTCACAGTCCTGCAAGACCAGTATTGGACAGCAAAATGCAGTAGCCCAACTTGGGTCTGCCAAAATCATGACCTGATCATTAGACCAGCAGATGACCAAGTAACTTTAACACTCACTGCAGCAGCACTTCACTTTAAAAATCTGATCTTGTCATTCAGCCAATGTTATTCTGCTGCCACCAAAATGAAAATAGCCATCCGCCCTAAAAGTTTATATATTACTCACAGTTTTGCTCCAATGAAATGGATGTGGGATTTACTGCATCAATACCATGTGCCTCACAAACCCAGGAAAAAATCCTGGACAGGTAAGTTAAAGGTACCCAAAGCTCCCCTGAACTCAACCATATCGTAACACTTTTCTATTGGTATGGAAGTCTTCATGTAAAGAAGCTAAATCTGGGAAGCTTCTGAAGCGGTAAATCAGTTATGAAATGGGAACCTCCCTTACAGGCTGTCTAATTATCTGACAAGATAATTAATCTCTTAAGCAATTGTAGAACTGCTGTTACCTTGGTAAGTGATGGAAACAAACTCTGGCAGATCCCATAGGTCTTGGCACTGTGATATCAATAAGACTCCAGAAAGTTATGTGTAATAGGCACTGAGTGAGGTCAAAATGCCTCCATAGGAGTAACTGGAATTGCTTATTGCCTCAAGGTACTTCTGTTACTAATTATTTTGCCGCAGCTAATTATGGTTTGCCTGTTTAGTTGCAGCTAAGTTTAAGAGTTGCCTTTATTCCCTTCAGGAAGATACTGAATCATGATAGGAAAGGACAGAGCCTCCTGCCTTTTTAGAACTATGGCATTGTCTGCCTCTCCTCAACAGACAACCCAATTACAGCCGACACAATAATTGATGCTGAAATTTTCCACTGAGAAAGATGGACACACATTATTATCCCATCAGTCTTGTTCCACATGGTGTCTTGTATCTCTGGTTTTTCCTACTGTGGCAGCAAATTGACTGAAGCACACTGCATAGCCTGTTTTCCCAAGGGTATCCAGTGACGGAATGAGGGCATCTCGCAGGGCACGAGGAGAAAGGTGAGCCCAGAGAAAAGATGACTCAGTGTGAATTGAAGCCAAATTTACTTCCACAGCCTTCTTTATCTGCTTAGGTCTCCATTACACAGTATTTGTTTCAAAGGAAACATGAGCATGTCCAACATCTACTGATTAACACATGCATTGCATTACACTGAGCAACTGTTCTGCCATTAACAGCAACTGTCCCTTATTCATACACAATTCTATCTGAGCTTAAAGACAGACTCTAGTGAGAGATCTGCCAGGTCTGTAAGTACATGAGAACATCAATGTGAATGAGATATCTATCTACTTGACAACTTTCCAGTCATCTAATCTAAGTTTCTGTTTTGCCCAATTTATACCACCACTTGGCACATGTTTATGTGTATTTATTATATTTCATGTGCTTCATAATCTCTGCATCCAAATCATGGAGTCAAGCTTAGTCCAAACCCTACATCTACTGTTTTCTATCTCTTCTTAAAAACCATTTCTGTTTGTATCTGAAAGGAGCCTGATTTCTACCTGTCCACTGCTTTTCCCCAGTAGCTGAACAGAAACTTATTTTCTTTATTTAATGACATTAATATTATCAGTCTACAAATATAATCATATTTTTTTTTGTTTTTTTTTTAAAAAAACACTAAAATACGGTGTTTGGCATAGCTGTATTATTCCTGTAATGAATAATCACTGAAGATACAATTGTGGATGCAGTTACCGTGCAGCATTGTGAATAAAATGCTTTAGATGGAAAACTGTATTTCAACAAAATGTATGCAATAGTACAAATGTATTACTGCCCATTAATATGCATTAATTCAATGAAAAATGCCTGACTGAGCTGGTTTACATAGATTAGGAGTGCAGGCAGTGAAAGGAAGCACTTGGGCTTGATTAAATGGGCTGTGAAGATCGGAGGAACTCTAATCCTAAACATAGAAGTGAACCTCCAAGATAGGCTGTCCAGTTACACTGGTATGGTTTGTTCCTTCCCTCATTCATATTGGTGTTTTTATTGTGATGGAGAATCAGCATTCAGTGCTCCTGATACATTGGTTCTACTCAGCTCTCTTGAATCTGTATTTTAAAGCTTTTTATTTAAAAATAATAAAAAATAAAACAATTCTCCCTAAGGTAGGAACTTTGTAGGAATCATCTCATTTGCTTAAGTGTTTCCAGGATGTAGAATGTGAGCTTCTGACATGCTTGTCGTTGTCAAGACAAGCTTATCTGTGCCTGAAATACTCATTAACTTCTGTGCGTGACATGCAAGGTTTGTTCTAGCTCCCCAGTCTGCACCAAGAGGGGTATTCCCACAGCGTTGAGGGGGAGCACTCATTGAGAGACATCAGTGTTTCAAATGATGCCAAATGCACCCTTCTGTCCAGGCATGGTTAGTTACACATATAAAAACCCAACAATTTCTCTTTCCCTTCTGACTAACAATCTTCTTATGAGACAAACTGTTGTAATAGTTATATGCTCAGCATAAGATGCAGTTTTCCCTGAGTTTATTTAATAAATACATTGCAGTTCATAAAAGAACCCATCAGTTCGATGGCTGTCTCAACCCCATGGCCTGCATAAAGCCTTACTTTTGGTGCAGTGCTGACTGGCACTTTTACTCTCCTTTGCCTGTGCAAGAGAAGTAATTTTGGAGGAGGTTTAGGTGAGGAAAGGCAGAATGGTGACTCCAGGGGTGTGAGGAAGGAAGAAGAACCACCAAAAGAATTTGTGGGTCTCTTGACTCAAGATTAGTGGAATATCAACAAACAGCAGATGTTTGGAGGCAAAACATGCACATAATGGGTTTTGATGATACAGAGATGTATCCTAGAGAGTACATGGATTTTTCCATACTGCGCAGTATCAAGGTACATGAGTTACTACCAGGAATGTTCCTTGGTGATTTTTTTACTTGCAAAACAAGAAACATCCCAAATAAACCCAAAATTTTTCTGTGAAAATGTCCATGTTCAAAGCAAGTTTGCATCAGGACCTAGAAGCAAAGCTTTGGTGTACTAGTTCTTAAAGGGACCTTCAAATTGGGGCTGAGCCTGCGATCCTCATGCAATAGCAACTTTAATGGAGTCCTTCCCCCAGAAGATGAGGATTTGTATCACTTTGAGACCAGTCAGCCTTTGTGAAAGCAATAACAACAGGTCTGTCTCTCATGTGCATCATATCTACTGACTGCACAGATAAGGCTGGTGAAGTTACAAAATGCTCTGAAACAGCTCTGCCTTGGATCAGCACCATATGTGGTCTTCATTTAACTCATTTTGCATGTAATGTCCTCCAGATATGATCACTAAGAGGTCTGATATTTCGGTAGCCCTTATTTGCATAAACCAACTTAATTTTGACGCTGAGAACTTGTTCCATAGCACTTTCATAGTGGGGCACCAGGATATAAACATGCCTGAAGGACAAAAAAGTGGGCCTTATGTTTAGGAAATGATCTTTGAATATGACCTTATTAGGACACATGTTATCTAAACCAGTGAAAAATGATATTATAAATGACTACAAAGGATTTACTATCTTCTTTGCCCAAGCAGCCTCATAAATTTTATGTCTAATCCCCAGTTTTGCCCACATCCTCATCCAATTCTATCTGCCTTACATGAAGCTTAGTAAACTTCAAAGAAACACAGCTGACCAGCATGACAGCAAAGAGTGGGGTCCCTGTAGTGTGTTAAATCCCTTCCCTCCAATACAGTCTGATGGGATCTTTAATGACTATTTCTTATATAAGAATTCTTGAAATGATGGACCTTGGATCATTCTCTCCACCTATGTTCTATATACATAGTTCCCAGAGCTCAAGTCACATTCTAGTAAGTGTATCGAATTTTGAGCTATTCAAGGGATTTTGTATATTATTTATGAGGATTGATTGCTTTGTCTCTCATGTGAAGGAATGCATGTAAAACTGACTTTTGTTCTGTTTTGCCTTTGCCTAACATCTCTGATATGATCATGGCTTCATAACAATTTCAATATATTATTGCCAAAGGTATTATAAAATAGGGAGACATTATCCTCCAAGTTGTAATTCTTTCTCTGCTAAATAAACTCAAAAGCTTTCTGTTTGTTTGTTTGTTTATTGATCCTTACTGTGGAACATAGTAAATTAAGTTAGTGCTGTTAAACAAGAGGCCAAATTCCCTTGTAGTTTCACCAAAATGGATTTCAATTAGCTAAGCTGCTATGACTGTGCTATGATGCTATTCTTAGACAGGTTATGACATTGTCAACAAATCAGTGAAATTTAAGCTCCTTTTATTGTGATCTTGAGTTAAACAATACAGATTTCTTGTGCATATGCCTTGTTCCCTATATAATGGGAGCTTCAGACAGTGTGGTCAGAAATAACTCTTGACATGAAATACCTGCAAGTTATACAGGCATTGTAACACAGATCAGTCTCAGAGTAAATCTGGGAAATGGAGGAAAGGGAAAAAGGGCAGAAAGCATAGGGTCATTATGATGTAATTTCTGCCATCCCACTGTTCCAGCTGTGCAGCAAAGGGATATTTGTGACCCACTGCCTGACATGCCCTCAAAACCAGAGTCTGTAGTGGTCAAAATTAGATACTTACAGATGCACGAGGAGATTGTTTCCTTCTGCTGTTATTTCACCATAGAAAATATAAACAGGGAATTATCATGCACTGACTGTTTCAGTCAGAATGAGGGACTATCAAATAAATACAGTTGATGACAGATTCAAAACACACATGGGGATGCGTTTTTGAACCCCTTGCCATGGGATTTTATAGATAAACCCAGAGAGGTTTAAAAGGTGTCTTGATAAGTAAGAAAAGAGAAAGTTCTGTAAGGGATGATTAAATATAAGGATATCACCTCTGGTTCAGGAAGTCCTTCACCTGTAAGCTGTCTTTCAGAATGAAAGGTGCTCTGACACTATTCACAGCCAATTTGCTGCTAATGGCCAAGCTTAAGGAGTGCTTGATAGAAAGAACATCTCATTAGCTAATCTTTAAATGACTTCAAAGTTCCGTAGCAGGGACTGTGAATAGAGAAGTTTACGCCTTCCCTGATGAAAGGCTGAAGTTGCTCCAAAATACAGCTGTGTTGACATTACTGCAATGTCTTGATCTGTTGATGTATAAAGCAGGGACAAAGCCCCACAGGGCTCAGCAGTGTGTAATCTCTCACAGTCGTGCAGTTTGTAACCTCGCAACAGACCCTCCTGATTTAACTCTACTTGGTTGTAACTCAATTTTTGCATTCACA